GTTGATGGTACAGGCAACGAACAAAAATGCATGAACATGCATAATAATGCATGTTACGCCGATTCATAGTTCCATTTTTATGAAAAGTCGCTTCATCAGAAAGTAACACGAAATCGAAAAAATAATTTCCCTGATTGATCTTTTCTAAGCCCCAACGGCAAAATTGAACGCGTTTTTCAAAATATCTTCTTCGTAACTCTTGCATCAATTGCTTGTGGTAAAGATGAAATTTGTCTGGTCGTATTATTCGAGACACGCTAGAAACTCCTAATTCCCTGCTCAGGTCTAAAGTACTCACATGGGGATTTTCAACAAGGTGAAGGGCAATTTGAAATGTATTCTCTTCGTTTATTACAGGGCAGATACGTTCGAACTTCTCGTGATTGACATTACAAGCTCTTTTTATGTTTTTAGAGCCTGAAATGCCCTTCCATCTGGTTGTCTTCTTTCGGGGAACTTCTGTTTGTAAATCCTAGATGCAAGGAAGCAGTTTCCGTCACTTTCCGCCAAAGCATAGATCATTTATTTGCACCATATCTTCCAATACATAATTCATAATGGAAATGATTCAATCTACACGCGAAAGAAACTTCAACACATGGCGTTACTGACAAATTCCGAGATTCATTTTTGGATATCAGTTGTGGATAACTGGGTTTTTAAATAAAAAGTAGTATGCTTATTCTTTAGGTATTTTACGCATTTCTTACCGTTGAAACCGCTGATAACTATCACTAGATGGTATGAAAAATGCCAATGCGATTATTTTGAATATTTGAGAAACAAATTTGGGTAAGTGAACGTAAAAAAATACAATTTTTGTGCTTACAACAATTATTAAAACTTGGTATAATTTGTTGTTTGTTGTTTTTCGTATAGTATACTTCTGAAAAAAAATGTGTATACTAAATCTTCGTATAATTTCAATACAATGTTATAGTACAAAGATAAATTAAGTCTTTTAAATATCATTTGGCCTATTTATTTCGAAGCGAAAAAATCTGTTTGAAATCTGTTTTTACGTTAACCAACTGTCGCACCCCTACGAACAACAACCCTCAGGAGTCTTAACTTGTGTGAAATAAGGATTAACGAGGTCTTTCCTTTTTAACGTGTGATTCCTAACACGGGTTGGACGATAGCAAGTGAAAATCGATCATTCAGACTGGGTCTTGAACCACCGACCAACACGGCAGTCAATTCGAGTGAGTGAACAAAGCACCCACGTCGAACCGCTTGGCTACTAAATAATCATTTTTTTGTCTGGCAGTATAGGTATGAGAAGGTTTAATAAGTTCGGTCTTATTGAAGATCTGAGTTGTAGCGATGTGGTTAAAGAATATTTGTTTGATATCAAAAATCTCAGACTCTCCATAAAGAGCATCACTCGCGTATCTGTTGTTTTTGAGAAGTATCATTCTTAGGAATCGTTTGTGCGTTTCTTCAAGTTGCTTTGAAGCCCTTCTCATCCGACCATTCCATAGTATAGGTGTAATTCTATCAAACTTTGGTAAAGACTTTTGAGCTAGCTGGTTTCAAATATGTCTGCCATTTACCTGAATCAGTATAGAATACATCATAGTTTTTCACTAGATAATCTATATGTGAGTTCCGTTTTAACTGCTCATCAATCATAATACCAAGATACTTAGTTTCATCTGCTGACATAATGGTGAAGTTATTACTGATAGAAATTTGATTGAAATGCGGTGAATAAGTTTTATTGCTGCTGAAAGGTAAATAAATGGTTTTTCGGAAATTAATTGACAGCAATCTATAATTCAGTCATTTTAATATCTTGGGAAAGTCATTTTCGATTTCATCTTTTAATTCCTGCCTGATACTAGTTATATCCGTAAATCAACAACCTCTCGTTTCAATCACAATCAGACATCCCACTGGCAATCGCCAGAGTAGCTCAGCTGTTACGCGTGTATATAATGCATTCATTTTTTGTATTACACGAGTTTAAATCCTACTGCTGGAAGTTTTTTTATGTTTAAAATCTGTTCAAAATATGTTGTTCCGTTAATCAGTTGTCGCCCCCATACGAACGACAACTCTCTGAAGTAGAGAAACTTGTGCGAGCTAAGAACTAACGAGGTCTTACCTTTTAACGTGTGATTCCTAACACGGTTGCAAAATCATTCCAGCTTCAACCAAATATTTCTCGAGAAATATATCTGTTCGAGGCGGGAATCGAACCCACGGTCTTCCGATCGTGAGTCGGGCGCACTACCACCGCGGCCAATTGTGAGTAATATAATTATATATCAGTATTATTTATCGGAGGATANTTTTTTTTGTATTATGATTTTTTTTCGGGGTGCCAAAGAAGAGCCATATTTCTTATTAGTTTTGCTTATATGCGCACTCAGTATTTTTGAACATTTAATAAATTTTGTTGTAAGTTACATTCGTTTAATAATCACCCGTCAACTTTTTTTCCTAAAGCGATCTAAAAAAAAATATTGCCATTTTCAAAAATATCCCTCGACTTTTCTGATGTGTGTATTTACATACTTCAGGAAAGTAACAAGTCTATCAATGTTCTGTGGGGTTAGGATTGCTCGTAGGTCACCGGGAAGGCCGGTGGTAAGACGGACAATCCAGAAGAATGTGGTTTACATCAAGGTTTATTTGGCAGATTTCACATTTTCTGGCCACATCTCGTTGAAGGAGGTTTTGATATGTCAGTTTGGTATGGGCAGTGCGAAGCCTAGTGAGAATCACGTGGTACCTTCTACACAACCTAATGTATTGGACGGAATTCAGATTTGGGTTTATTTGAAATAGCTTGTTATTTTGATATTTATACCGTCTGTCATGCCAAGTATTCCATATATACGTTTTTATAAAGGGCTTCATGTCTGTATATGGTATTTTTGATATGATTTTGGCAGATGGATCTGCACTGGCATCTTTTGTAGCCATTTCTGCCTTTTCATTACCAGAAATGCCTATTTGGGATGGGATCCAAACCAGTTCGATAGTTTTTCCTTGGAGTCTCATCTCGTATAACTGCGTCTTGATGTTCTTTAGTATGGGATGTTTTGAGTGGAACTCAATTTTTTCAAATGGAGCACCCTGTATATTTCAACATTTTTGAGATCTACATCCGATTTTAGATTAACTTTGTTCAGATAATACTATTTCTATTTTGAACCGTATTCGAGATAAACTGTTTCAAACGGAAACTGACGTGGTTTTCTTGCTCGTTTTTTTGAATTCATCACTTATTTTGGATATTCAACATTTTTTTTTATACTTAGTAATATTTCTTTTTGATTTTTTTTTTTTAACTGTCTCAGATCAGTCAATTCGAAATTGGTATGTACCTACCTTAGAAAAAGTTACAATTTCTTGAATTTATTAATAATTTATGGTGAGTGCAATAGAATTGCAAGTAGAACATGCCGAGTATTTCATGAAAGATATCCACAACTTCCGAAGCCGAATAATAATGTGATAAATCAACTACTAAAAACTGTAGGTTGAATGGAACCTTCCGTCCAAAAATCATTTGTAAGAAGATTAAAGTGGGTGATGATGACAATCTTATACCAGTTTTGAGATACTTTCATGCATTTCCAAATGCTTCTCTGCACGAGGCTGAAAGGGAGATAGGTATACCCTACGTGACAATTTGTCGAATTCTTAATAAGCATAAATGGCATCCCTATAAGTAAGTTCTACTGTGTCCAACATTTGAAAGAGACTGATTTACCTCGTAGAGTGGAATTCTTTGAATGGTTACTTGTCAAGACTCAAGAGGATGAACATTTCCTTGACAATATCATATGGACAGATGAGGCCAAGTTCACAAAAAATGGAGTTTTCAATAGACACAACAGCAGTCATTTTAGGGCGCCAGAAAATCCCCATGTTGTCCGCCAAAGGGGTTTTCAAGAAAGATGGCAATTCAATTTATTTTGTGCCATAAAGACTGAGTAAATTTTTTATATCGAGTTTTATGATGATAATTTGAATGCATCAAAATATGAAGATGTACTGAGGAATGGAATTCAAATGATTTTAAATAATAGACCAGGAAGAGAACGTGTATGGTACCAAATGGATGGTGCTCCACCCCATAATTCTCATTCANCAGAAACAGAGCTCTTTAAAAATATATTGAAAATAATAATATCCTATACAGTGGTAAATTTGCGATTATATAAAAAAAATACTGAAAAGTCGATTCCAGTTGAAGGGGATGACTGGGGTTTACTTTTAGAGCTGGAAAATTATATTTCATTATTATCACCAATCATCCATCAAAAACCTCAATATGAAAGTTGTAGGCAATGAAAATATCCACGACTTCAGTGGGAACTACTTTTTCACAGTCTAAAATTTGAGAGTATAATTCTTCCTTTTTATTTTGTTCACAGAGTTATTATTTGTTTTTTATGATATTTGGTAGAAATTTTATGATATTTGGTATTTTTATATCCACAATATTCGGTTGAACATTTCGATCTGATGTTGTATCTGAAAAAAATCTCATCAAAATATAATTGTACAAGAATATATATTTGCAAAATTAACAGTAGTAATTTTTGAAACATCTTCCAGATGAAGCATTTTTTCATGGAAATGTTACTTTTTTTCAACGTATGAACGTATGTAATTCAACAATGGATACAGATAATTTCGAAAAAATTGATATTTTAAAAATAGGGTTTCACGTATTGTGTAATGTAATGTTTTCAGATGTGAAATTGATTGGGATATAAACACAATACTTCACACCCTCTTTCCCAATCATCATGCTTCTATTATATTTTTTTTATTTTTGTTTTTCAAGCAGGGTTTGCAGTGGTTTATACTATAATGGTATCTGTACATTGTATACTCAGCCTGTTTCGTCCCCTGATGATTAGATTAGCAAAACTATCGTCAGCAAAAGCGTTGTTGTTCTAGTGTGTGTCTTTTCGTTAGATTTAATTAAAACCTCCGAAATTATTATATTTTTGAAGACATAATTTGTTTTTCAGGAACTAGTTGCAAGTTCGCCGAGCGAAAGGAATTGGAGGGGAATACTCATTGCTCTTTTGGTGATTGTTGCCGTTTTGGGCCTCATTGTCTTCAGCATAATTTTAGTGTCACCTCCGGAAGAAGGTCCCAGAACGAAAGGTATCAAACCAAGTTTGGAAGACATTTTTCTTAAACTTCCACCTGCAGCCAAATTCAATGGAACATGGATATCAGGTATTTACACAGTTTATTATGTAGATGTTGGTATCAGCTAAATTTTCTTTCCCTAAATACCTATCTTCTCATTTCAGTTTTACTCAGTTCTCTAGTATGCTGAAATAATTATATTCTTCTCCTTAAGACTGATGAAAATGAAAATCATTCTCTCTGAACTGAAAACTGAAACGTTTGCTGGTAATAATCATATTCACAGTATTTGTTTGAAGGTGGTTGATAATGTTTCATGGTGAATTTCATCAGTTCGGACTTTCAGAACTAGACACCTTTCTGAACTAGACACCTTTCTGAATCAGGTCAACAGTGTAAGACCCTCCATCACCTCCACAATAGGAAAAGAAGTCCAAAACGAATTGCCATTCTTAGACGTATTGGTGAAAAAGACCGACACTGAGTGGAAAAAATATGTATACCGAAAACTACTCACACGGGACAGTACCTGAATCACGAAGCCAACCACTATCAATCTACCAAAAGAGCAATCATCAAGACTCTAATAGACCTTACTATCGGGCTCTGTAATACGGAGTCAGGTCTCGATAAGGAACTAAGCATCATCAAAAAACTTTTTCAACGAAATGGTTACTCCAAGGTGATGAAAGAACATACTTTGGCTAAAAGACAGCAAGAGCCTCGCAAGGAGGAGCAGCCGTCACAACTAGTGCTTACACTTCTCTACATCAGAGGATAGAGGGAAAGGATAGGAAGAATTTGATTCAAGTACAACATCAGAACCTGCTTCAGATCTGGAAACACCATCCGTAGCACCCTCATGAAAACTAGGCCACCAAACGCGGACTGCGGTTCCAAGAATTGCATTTACCGGATACCCTGCCAGTGCCGAGAATCACACATCGGTGAAACCAAGAGGCCATTGGAAGTCCGCATTGCCGAGCACAAGAAATACACACACACCGAGGAGAATCCAGTAAATCGGGATTAGCAGAGCATATTTGGACTCATCAATATAACATCAAGATGTCCTAAGCTGAGATCATCCACAGGGAGGAACACTGGTTTAGGAGAGAATTCAAAGAAACTGCATACTTGTTGTCCAACGACGCATTCAGCCAAGCTAGCGTAGAGATACGCAACATATGGAAACCCATAATGGTGAAAAAATAAAATAAATATATGAGGAATTATTTGGATGGAATTCTCATTTGGTTTAGTGAACATAAGGTGAAACAGTTAGGAAAAAATAAAAATGATATGAAGAATGATTTGGATGAAATTCTCATTTCGCTTAGTGAACATAAGTTGAGACTAAATTTCAATAAATGTTCATATTTGAATATTTCCCTGGGACTAATGGATACTTCAAATAATACGATTATGTTTGATCAACACTCTATTAAATATACAAGAGCAACAAAATAGTTAGGTTCATACATTGATGAGAAATTTTCATGGAATAAACATATTGAAAAAACTAGGAAGAAAATATCTCCTCTCATTGGAATGTTTTACAAAATTAGAAACTTGATACTTTGGAAAATTAAAAAAATATATGTTTCAGTCTCATTTATTCACATTGATACTATCTTATTTCTGTTTGGGTTACAACAAGTAAATCTTTCTTCGAAGGTGATTGACAATGTTTCATGATGAATTACATTAGTTCGTATTTCCATTGTCTAATATTATGTAAACTGATTTGAAATTCGTGAAAAATCCAATATAAATTAAAAAAAATATCTCAAAAAACAATTATATTAAGCAAAAAATTTAAATTACAATGAAATATATGTATTCTATTTCATTATAAATTCAGTTTTTTTGCTTAATATAATTGTTATTTTTCATTTAATCTTTTTAATTTTTTATAGATTCTTTCAGTGATTTCAAATCAATTTATATCATATATATTAATGGAAGTCCGAACTAATGAAATGCATCAGAATGCACTATTCATCTTCGTGTGCATCATTTGAAATGATACATTGTCATTATCATTATGAATGAGAGCAAGTGAGGAAGTTTTTGGTGTCTCGATAGTAAATTGAAAATATTATTCAATGAATGAATTAAATATATCAAATATTTTCTTGATACAAACTCTGTAATTATTTTCGTTTTTGAAATGGGTGTGCTCATTTCCTCAATGTTTCTTCAACTCTAATAACGATAATTCCGTATTATTTGTTTCAGATAGCGAATTTATCTACAAGGATGCGCATGGAAGCGTTCTACTTTTTGATGCAGATAATTTGACGACAACCACTATAATGTCCAACATTACTTTTGTAAGTGAAATGTTACTGAGTTATATTAAGTATGATTTGTACATCTACTTGAGATTTCACTGAAAATATAAAAGGGATTTGGTTCACCTCCAAAGGAAATATAGACCCATCCTTCTATAACCTCAGATTATCAGACAGAATCTACAGATTCAGATTGCTATTTCGACCATGGAACCTCTGAAGGAGGTTTATCATCGAACGCAGTTTTGTCGATCTTGGCAAGAACCAATGAAATATGATACCAGCACGATCTTCGTGACTTTTGTAGAATGGAAGGTATCAATAAAAAATCTCTTTGGGAAAACATAGAGGAATAATGTAAAGGGTACAGCTTGTCAAATCTAGGAAGTGACTTGTAACATATCATTACCTACGTACACTACAGACAGAGAACGCATTAGGATATACGTACGACTTGGTGCGCCTATTTGGATTTTAGAGTGGTCTCGTCCTCGTCGCAAATAGCAATAAGGGTTGATGGTTCTTTAATTGATGGTAAATTGTTGGTTCAGAATGATAATGCGGTATTCACGTGATTGAATTTCAATGAGTTTGTTTTTCAGCAGTCTGCATTACATTTAATTTCGGGTTTATCAAGAAAAGGTAGAAACACTTTTTTTTTTCTGAAAATGTGATTTATTTGGGTTTTTGAAAAGAAAATTTCTTGGGAAAAATATATTTATTGAGATGAATGAATCAAACTCCAGACAGATTGAAATCGCTTATAGAGTTATCACTATTCTCAATGGTACTGTCGTTGTCACTATCACCTTGAACATTTATAATAATTGTGTCTATTGCGAAATCAAGATCAAGTTCCTTCGACGCATAAAATTCCTCGGAACGTTTAGCGTCTTCGAAACGTTTTTTCCACTGCTCTTGAGAAAATGAAATGAAGAATTCGTCACATAAACTTTCAACAGATTCGTTGTCTCTGAAAAAATTTCTTCGCAACTGCTGAATCGCCGGTTTTTCAATGAGCAACTTTCTATTTTTTCTCGTATTCCTCCTCCACCTTATTTCTTCCATCACTTTCCTCAAAGACTCATAAGATTTCTTGTAACCATTTCCGTCAACGAAATTTTTATGTATGGGGCGTAAGGTGGGAATTTTTTTCTCAGTTGATTACATATCGACGAAGAAGGCCCTAGTCGAAATCATTAAATTCTGATTTTGATGCCTTTCTGTGTTTTTTTTATACGGCGTTGAAAAAGAGATTGTTTTCATTTCACGAGCTATTCTTTTACTGCTACCCAAACTTACACCCGCCGCGCGCTTTTGCACTTTTTTCAGGTCCATGCTTATGCCGTTATCAGCTTCTCGTTGTATTGAAAAATGTACATTAGCAATCACTTCTCTCGCTTGACTTCACAAAACTTTTCATTTCAATTCCGATTCGAATGCCATTTTCTTAGAGTACAGACTTTTGTCGCATACTATACTTCACCGAAGTGGATACTACCAGATTGTCGTTAAGACTGAGTTCCGATCGTCTTTAACTTTTTAGGCAACCACGGTGTATAGAATAAACCACTATGTACCACCACGTTTGTTGGCGGTGGTAAATAAAGTGTACCACCTTCTCAACAGAGCTATTGCTCTTGTTGCAGTGATTCATTTTTAGAACCACTAAAGTTTTGCCATCTTGTGCACGGTAGATGCAACTCACAACAGTTGGTTACAGATTTGGTCGTGTTTCGCAGCCACTAACCTCAAAACTGTGTACGTTCAACTGATGTGCTTTGTTTAGTGGCCTTATTGTATGTAAAAAAATAGTTTTTTGCAATAATTGAGAAAAATTGGATAGCTAATGTTTGAAGTAAGTGTCAATAGCATCAAAACTGATAATATTACATTACAAGTGTACATAAAAAATTTATTGTTGTGGTACTTTTCGTGTACCACCGCGTCGGTTGAAACTTTTATGTTGTCATTTTTCCAGTAACATGGAGAGGCTCAGAAAAGATGAATTACCTTTCAATTCAGTTGGAATTACTTTAGAAGAATTATACAACGAGATTGAAGGACCTGATACTATTGCGGATGAAGACGTAGAACCTATACCGTCTGATTACTAATCTGAGATTGATGCCTTCGATGACGAAGACTTGGTAGATAATGTCCTCGTTGCAATTGATGATGATGGAGGTTCAAAAGTGATGGGTTCGAATCTGATTTACCGATATCTACGATAAGGGAGATAATTGTCAATACTAAATCTCTTCATATCACCGCCCCAAATGTTGCTGTGCCTTATACACCACTAACTTGGCAAAATATTTGTTAACCAACTCCACCTCCAGATTTTGAAAGTTCTTCTGGTGTTGCCGAGTTTTTACAAAATAATTCAGAAAATGTAACACCGTTCCATAGTATATGCCCAATAATTCCAAAGGATAATTCACCAAAGAGAATGAAATTTTTTCTTACTGGATGGCTTGGCGGTACCTTATTTGTAGCATCCTATAAGTCGAAAATAATCAGTGCAATTTTGGAAAAAATTATGAATAAAATTTTTGTTGCTCCACTACGGTCTTTTTTTGGTAAAATTGTCTGCCTCTCAAAGAATTAAGGGTTTTCTACCACGCGCATCTTAGGGAAGGTCCTAAGCCGAAACTTTGATGTCGCTACCTAGATTTGACATGCTGTACTTCCGAACCACAATGTGTCAAGATTTGGCTACGATCGACTTCGAAATTTTGCTCTGCAACGTACCGACGTTGGGTACATCTGTGATATACGTAATTTTAAATTTCATCGATCCCACTGATAGCGTCTCAATATGGTCGTTCTACTTAGGAGAGAAAAGTTCAAATTTTGCATTCACGATACGGCTTAATACCATTGATGAAATATATGAAAAATCCAATTAGCGCTTTTCTGGAATTGGATCGTGTAGGCGAAGTTTTTGGGCTCTAGTATCGTTTATTCACCTGCTTGCAATAAAATCTGCAGAGTGGAAGAGACGAAAAGCCAACTTTCATTCATCGGACAAATTTGGTAATTTGCTATAGATCTTTTCAGACTGAATCTATGTTTGTCGTCAGAGCCACTTCTCATTCAGGGTTTTTCCAGCAAACAAACATCTTCCAGCTGTGAGTAATCAGAATTATTGGTATCTTGCATTATCGAAATGATGCTTTGAATATGGACTCAAAGATAAGTTATTTTGGAATATGTTTGTTATAATTTTATTCCATGAGAAGAAACACAGATTTTCACTGATTGGAAAAATACATATTTTCATCAACTTCAGAAAAAGATCTGATAGGAGACATATCTATGATGTTCATTGTTCCACCAAATATCTCAAGCATAACGTGTTTGTGACATCCCAAATCGAATAATTTCGAAAAGACGATATATAAATAATTCATTAATAGTTTCTGTAATCATCAGATCACCAATATAAATGTTCCGTATTTTTTGAACCCACATGCGTTTCACGAAAACCATTCTATGAGATATATTGCAAATGCAATGTTCAACAGGGAGAGCTATTTTTGAGCATTTTGTAGTCAAGTAATTATTTAGTCCATTAAGACCATCAGATACGAGTCACTTCATTTTCGCTTTATATATTTTCGAAGAACACTTTGTTTTGTTCTTCAGACCTTACTGTGTGAATGAAAGGCAGCTCTTTGATGTCAATATCCTTCATAAGCACTGGTTGTGACGGTTTCTCTTTCATGCGAGGCTATTGCTGTCTTCAAGCCAAATTCTGTTCCACCATCACTTTGGAGTAATCATTTCGTTGAAGATATTTTTTGATGATGCAAAGTTCATTCTTGAGACCTTCCTTCGCATTACAGAGCCCGAAAGCACGGTCTATTAGAGTCTTGATGATTCCCCTTTTGGTAGATTGATGGTGGTTGGATTCGTGATTCAGATACTGTCCCGTGTGATTGATTTTTCGGCATACAGAAGTTTTTCACTTAGTATCGATCCTGTTCACCAATGCGTTTAAGAAAAGTAATTCGTTGTGGACTTCTTTCTCCATTGTGAAGGTGATGAATGGTCTAACGCTGTCTAGTTCTGTATTTCTATAGTTCTATATTGTAAAAGTGTCGTCAACGTATCTTAACCAGACTCGGGGCTTCTTCCAATGGCCAGAGTTTCAAACCACTCCATATATATGTTGGCTTTAACTGGTGAACGGTGCGATCCCATTGGCAGTCCCTCATCTTGCATACAGAGTTCGTCATTCAGTTGGAAATATCATTTCCATACACAGCATCCTAGTAATTCCATGATTACTTCTACAGGTGAGTTCGTTCTATCTTCCAGGTCTCAGTCTTTAGATAGCTTTCTCTGTACGATTCCAAGTCCTTTTTCGACAGGAACGTTGGTGTAAAGGTTTTCTTCGTCGAAGATGATGATCAAATCGTGAGGTGTAGTTTTTGAAATTATGTATATCATATTAGACGATGGAAGTTCAAACTGATTTCAGTTCCAACCAGCTCTATAGATTGAGCGCAAATTGTACATTTCCGCTATTCAGATAAGTGTTAGAGCTTGGATTGCTATAATCACATCTTCAGGTAAAATCGCAGTGTGGGTCAACAGCTCTGTCTTTGCGTGTTTCTTCTCGCTTTTCTTTAATTAACGGTGCTCTGTCAGAATATCCTGGCCTGGGGTGTTCTCAGCTGAGGTGGGCTGGCACCCCTCGTTGCTGGATGCTGCCTGAGGTCTTCTCGTCCCAGGGACGAGAAGAAGAAGTATATGGTTTCCAACCATATACCAGTTTTCACTTCTACATTCACTACTTTCTACCCTCGTCGATTGACCCGAACCGATAAGGGATTTTCGTCACTCATGCGCAGAATTGCATAATATCGCACACTTCCACTTTGGTTAAGATCGCACTATCACCTGTTTTATTCGCGAGTTGATTTTTAGTCCTGCTTATTACACTGCGATCATACCGCACTCTGTGTGGTTGTCCGTTTCCGTGTTGCCTGGGGTTGATGGTTTACTCCCGCTCTTCCTTACTGTTCGTCTTGGGGGACTGGTCCGATCTAACTAAATTGCTTTTTCATACTTGATGCTAAAGAGCACACTAGAATTCTAAAGACTCAATAGTGTCACTGTCCCAATTTTTTAGTAGTAAATCAAAGTGCGCATATTCGAATCATAGAGGAAGTTTTTGGATGCGACGTGAATTGCCTCGATAATCGGGGCAATGTNTCCTTAGCCAATTTTGAAAGATAAGGGATTGAATAAGTTGAAACTGTATTATTTTGTTCTCAGATTTTTAAATATATTCAAGAGGTGTATTTGTAGCAGATACAAATCATATATTTTCGTTCAGTGCTTGATGAATGAATGAGATTGTTTTGTTCTTATTCGTAACACATTTTCTAGATGTCATTAACCAAAAAAAAATGTGCCAACACTAATTTTCAACAATAGTTAGATAATCAAAACATTTTATCAATGTTTTTCTTTTGTCATGTAGTCATTGAATTATTTTTCAATCACTGAGCTTCAAAAAGATGTGTCACAAGACCCCCCTTTCCATTAAATATTTTCCCATATGGCGCCCAGTCGTCATCTTGAAAGTTTCATCTGTCAATTTAACTTCAAAATGAAGTTTCCATGCATTAATTTCATTATCCCAAATTTAAATTTTTTGACTTGACCTGTTCAAAAAATAAAAGGAAGAGACATTAAAGAATAGTACTGTATATCTAAACAACGAGCTTGGATATATTTTCTTTCCGACCGATATTTCATCCATGTTTTGAGTCCCCATGTGGGCTGTTATGGCAAGCACCTCTCTGATCAACTACTCCGTTTTCTAGTACCATGACTGGTATTGAATAATATTGAAAAAATCCTTGTGCAATGTTCTTCAGTGAACAGGAATCAAGTTACAAGGGCATGCTAGATAAAACAACGCTATCAGAATTTTTTTTTATACCTACGGGCAGGGTGACCACCTGCAGGCAAATCTGGCATTTATTATCATTCTTTGTTCAGTTAAGAATAACTACCTGCGTGCATCTATGTTTCAATGTTGTTGCATCTCAAGAGAACCGGCTGGGTTGGATAACCAAATAAATGCTTTTCGTTCGTTAAAAACTTTCGATTTTATACATTTTATGATGCACTGTTTGGAACCTTTGGTGTAGTAATGAATATTACTGGAGTTTTTTGTTCAGTTGAAAATAACTACCTGCGTGCATGTATGTTTCAATGTTGTTGCATCTCAAGAGAACCGGCTGGTTGGATAAGCAAATAAATGCTTTTCGTTCGTTAAAAACTTTCGATTTTATACATTTTATGATGCACTGTTTGGAACCTTTGGTGTAGTAATGAATATTACTGGAGTTTTTTCCCAAAACACCAAATCGTTATTTTTAACACCTCGACACATGTTTCAATCACCAAGTGATCATCTTCAAAGAGGAAGATTAAAACTAAGGACTAGTGCGAGGTAATCCTATTTATGCTATAAAGGTAACTCATACAGGTAAACCATCCAGGCGTACCAGATATAACAGAGAGATAGAGAGAGAAAGAGAAAGAGTTGTTAAAGAGTTCATTCTACATGAGTTATCACCTCTTGGTGGTTACTTTTTTAACAGAACTCTAGAAACGAGAGCAAAAATATTCAAAAGAAGTAAAAACATTGAGAATTTACTTTGAACCTTCCAAAAAGTTCATATTGAAATTAATTGCTTTCTTCCTTTCTTTGGAAGA